ACGCGGAAGGTTGGGAGGGAAGGGGAAGATGGGTGAGATGTAAGGGGGGCGCAGTTAATTACCGACATCTCTTGTAGCAGGATAATGCTACAGTTTAGTTATATAGACATACTCGGTTCTAAATAAGAATTGTACTTAAAAGTATACAACCTAAAATAACTGTTTATTCTCGTTAAGAATTCTGAAATTATTTCTCCTATAAGAACTCTTAACAAACTTCTATGAACATATTTTCCTCATAAGAAATCCTTAACAAACTTCTATGAAATTATTTTCCTCATAAGAACTCTTAACAAATTTCTATGAACATATACTCTGAAAATGGTCTTTGAAAAAATGAGCGATCAAGAAAAAAATAACAATTGTCCGTAGAGTTTACCCGGAACCCCAGACACCTCACACGGGAATTTTAAAATTAACTGGAAAACCGACCGCGTAAACGGGAATTTTCTAAAAAAAAAAAAAAAAAAAAAATCCCGGTTACGCTGTCATCCCTACCCACTCCTCAACACTACCCACCACCGTCCCTCAACACTACCCACCACCGTCCCTCAACACTACCCACCACCGTCCCTCAACACTACCCACCACCGTCCCTCAACACTACCCACCACCGTCCCACCACCGTCCCTCAACACTACCCACCACCGTCCCTCAACACTACTCACCACCGTCCCTCAACACTACCCACCACCGTCCCTCAACACTACCCACCACCGACCCTCAACACTACCCACCACCGTCCCTCAACACTACCCACCACCGTCCCTCAACACTACCCGCCACCGTCCCACAACACTACCCACCACCGTCCCTCAACACTAACCACCACCGTCCCTCAACACTACCCACCACCGTCCCTCAACACTACCCACCACCGTCCCTCAACACTACCCACCACCGTCCCTCAACACTACCCACCACCGTCCCTCAACACTACCCACCACCGTCCCTCAACACTACCCACCACCGTCCCTCAACACTACCCACCACCGTCCCTCAACACTACCCGCCACCGTCCCTCAACACTACCCACCACCGTCCCTCAACACTACCCACCACCGTCCCTCAACACTACCCACCACCGTCCCTCAACACTACCCACCACCGTCCCTCAACACTACCCACCACCGTCCCTCAACACTACCCACCACCGTCCCTCAACACTACCCACCACCGTCCCTCAACACTACCCACCACCGTCCCACAACTCTACCCACCTCCGTCCCTCAACACTACCCGCCACCGTCCCTCAACACTACCCACCACCGTCCCTCAACACTACCCGCCACCGTCCCACAACACTACCCACCACCGTCCCTCAACACTACCCACCACCGTCCCTCAACACTACCCACCACCGTCCCACAACACTACCCGCCACCGACCCTCAACACTACCCACCACCGTCCCTCAACACTACCCACCACCGTCCCTCAACACTACCCGCCACCGTCCCACAACACTACCCACCACCGTCCCTCAACACTACCCACCACCGTCCCTCAACACTACCCCGTGAGTCCCCGTCCCGTTTGGGGTTGCAATGCAAGTCCCCGTCCCATTATGGGTTGCAGTATGAGTCCTCGTCCCGTTATGGGTTGCAGTGTGAGTCCGCGTCCCGTTTGGGGTTGCAATGTGAGTCCCCGTCCCGTTTGGGGTCGAATCGTGTTGGGGGGAGGGGGGTCGTGGCGTGTAGGGGAAGGGGGTCGTGGTGTGGGGGCCCACACACCACTACCCTTTCCCCCTCCAAATACCATAACACCCCCTCCCCCCCTGCATCGACCACCTCCCCCACAGGTAACGACCCCACCCTCTCCCTCCACACGCCACGACCCACCCCCCACACGCAACGACCCAGTCCCGTGTTGGGTTGCAGTGTGAGTCCCCGTCCCGTTATGGGTTGCAGTGTGAGTCCCCGTCCCGTTTGGGGTTGAAATGTGAGTCCAAGTCCCGTTTGGGGTTGCATTTTGAGTCCCCGTCCCGTTTGGGTTGCAGTGTGAGTCGCCGTCCCGTTTGGGGTTGCAATGTGAGTCCACGTCCCGTTTGGGGTTGCAGTGTGAGTCCCCGTCCCGTTATGGGCTGCAGTGTGAGTCCCCGTCCCGTTATGGGCTGCAGTGTGAGTCCCCGTCCCGTTTGGGGTTGCAGTATGAGTCCACGTCCCGTTTGGGGTTGCAGTGTGAGTCCCCGTCCCGCTATGGAATGCAGTGAGAGTCCCCGTCTCGTTTGGGGTTGCAATGTGAGTCCCCGTCCCGTTATGGGTTCCAAACATAACTTAATATAGCCTCTAGGCAACAATATATCTTGAATAATTTGTTCAACTTGGATAAGTCGTTCCACAACAAAAAAAAACATTATCGTTTGGATCGTCGACTTCCTATAGCCTTTCATGCCACTTAGTTTCGTCTAATTTCGTTATACATTTATATTATTTCAGAGTAAAAATATGTTTTTTCATGTTCTACATTCAGCACCAACATTATATCTAACATTATATCTATCATTATATCAACATTATATTATATCAAGTAAATATACCATATTTCTTCATTACTTACGTAATGCTAGGAAGCTTTGGGTACCTTTGAGTAAATTTGGGTAATTAGACGGACTTTTTTTTATTGATAAACAGGGGGTTTGGTGAGTGCATGGAATGGACTTTGCGTCTTTGTTTAGAGGACTTATTTATTTATTTATTTATTTATTTATTTATTTATATACGGGAAGGTACATTGGGTTCATGAGAGTACAGAGACTTGAAGTTGTACATTCTTGTAAAGCCACTAGCACGCATAGCGTTTCGGGCAGATCCTTAATCTAACATATAATCTTAAGAAGGCAATTTCTAGCAAAATTAAAAAAAAATGTTTACAGGTACATTGTAAGTATAAAAATACATTGTAAGAAAGTACAAAAACATCTTAAATCCTGTACACCTTTCCTGAATTATGGAGGCTTTGTTTACTCCTACTGGGTTACTGTTTACGAGCTTTGAAACTTCCCAACGCAAAGTTATTATTGTTATAAAGAAACTCGTTGTGCTTCGGAGCTTGTAAACTGTTTAATGAGAGTAAACAAAGCCGCGATAATTCAGGAAAGGTGTACCGGATTCATAAGTGTCTGCGTAAGTGCTTGATGAATCCCGGTTGTTTACCCATGTCTTCAACTTCTTCATGAACATCGATTGAACGGTTATGATACCTCTATCCAATGGGTCCCAGCGCATTGTGGTATTCTCCATAATGAACTAGTAGATCAACTAGCCAAAGCAATGCACAACACACCTCACATTACCCGTCATCCAATTCCCCATGTTGCACGTAAAGGAGCCTTCAAAAATACCATCACCCAAGATTTTGCGACGAAATGGAAAACGTCATGCTCACCTTTGTACTATGGGTCCATTAAAAAGAAATGGGAAACTTGGAAACATGTCAGATATAAAAGCAGAGAAATTGATATAGCGATGACCAGATTAAGGCTGGGACACACCAAACTAGCAGCACAAAGCTCTAAGTACAGAACAGACATCAACGAACTCTGCATCCACTGTCAGGTGCCTGAAACAATCGAACACTATCTCCTACATTGCTTCCGACACTATAGTGCCAGAGTAAATTTCAAACAAGAACTTATCTCACTTAAAATACCCTTTACCATCGAGCATATATTAGGAGGCGGTGACCACTCGTTACAAGAAAAATACCAAATAGTCAAAGCACTGGCTAAATATCTCCAATCGACCAACAAATTGGGTCACATCTGACCCGCGCCACATTTATACCTGGCGCCACCAACAGCTAAACACAGAAAACAAATGTTTCGTCGCAACACCAAGGATCAGCTGACGCCATAAACACAACACACCGCCCTACGGTGCGGCAAGTCTCCCTCTAACATCCACCTCTGTTTTAGTCGCCGCTCCTCTGTCTACAGCACAACGCAACAAGCACTTTTGAAACTCTTATCATCTTCAACATAAACGCCTCTACCAACATCTGTACTGGTGCAGTCATCGGGAGGACAAACCCTTCATGCAAACTGCACCTACTATCAAGAAGAAGAAGAAGAATCCCGGTGTAACCGCTTAGCTACAGACAACAGCAACGATCAGCTGACGGAACATCAACACAACCTCCAGCCCTCGCTGGTCAAGTCTGAACTCTCAAACACAACAACTTCCCCCATCAACAACAAGACAACAGCCTTGCCACATCATAATCAGTGACGTGCTACAGAGTGACGCGTCTCCCCCACATCACCACTCGTAGAGATAAACCTTCGAGTCCGAGGTGCGAGTGGCTGAATCTATAACAACAACAACCCGGACTCTTAAGGACGACTATATAGCACCATGTGTCTCTTCAAGCCCGTGACACATGTTATATTCGATATGGATGGGCTATTATTAGGTAAGGTGTTCATGGGCCCAATGTGCTATTCAGATACAGGCCCCCATAGGTTACTGTTTACGGGCTCACCATAGCCCGTGCTACTTGGAACTTTATGTTCTTAGTAGCTGAATCTAAAACAACAACAGGTTACTGTGCAATTTAGATACAAACCCATTGGGTTCTGTGCTACAGTATTTAGATATTGTATAGGAAAAAATAAGTAAAGTACTGTATGTCACTGTTCTCGTTGGATATTTCTGTATCCAAATTGTGTAATGCTCCAGGGGTCTTTATCCAACACATCCACAACCCCTTAGGTTATATAATTATTCATTATTCAGCAGATTCTTTGATTATTCGTGAGAAAGCACTGATGATCTGCTTTCCAATAATGCATGGCACTTGCCCATAAACCTTATTGGTAAAGTATTGGGTTCATTGTTGAAACAATTCTTACTAAGCAGATATCAGCACTCGGAAGAGTGGTATATTTCCTCAGGGAGGACACGAGTCACAATAACGTGGCTGAAAAATGTTGACCAAACCACACACTAGAAAGTGAAGGGACGACGACGTTTCGGTCCATCCTGGACCATTCTCAAGTCGATTGAGAATGGTCCAGGATGGACCGAAACGTCGTCGTCCCTTCACTTTCTAGTGTGTGGTTTGGTCAACATATTTCCTCAGGACTAATAGATTAGAGACAGTATTTTTCTCAACTCATTTATTAGGGAAGGTAAATTCTTAGGGTAGGTATGCATTCTTAATCCCAAAAATTGTTCCAGTACTGGTACATTATAGGGCACATTTTGTAAAATGTATTATTATCTCTGCCACTTTCATCAAAACTGATTCCAAATAAGAATATAAGAATGATGGTAACTGCAGATGGCCTATTGGCCCATATGAGGCCATTCCTATTTATAACCACCCAATCTCGTTCATATATAAATCTATCTATTGTTTTAGGCACAAGAAGTTACTGTACATTTTTTTGGTAAAGTTATGTTTTAGGTGTGCAACTTCATTATTAGCAGGTTTTTGGTACGGTTTAACAAAGACACATGATAGATCTTCAGGAATATGCTTTTCCCATTGAATACAGAATTTAAATAAACCCAGATGAAGATCATCATGTAATTCCAGCTCAAAACTTGACTAAAAAGTGATGTACCTATATTTAAGTGGTTTCCATTTCTTTTTAATATACTTGTATTCTTGCAATAATTTCAGCATAAGGTCAATTTAACTCAATATTTCCTGATTAGGCACAGAGTCACTGTATACTGCTGCCACAGAATGTGTAATTAAGCCATTTGGGAAAATGTACTCATGGGAGGTTAAAGTGGCACAGATGGGACAGAAAGCAGAAAACTGTGCACAAATAATCATCAGCTCTCTGGAAATTCCTCTTTCTGTGAAGGATTATCTGACACAGGTGGCAGAGATTCACCGGAAGATCATGCCAACAGCGCAGTTGATGCCAGGTATCTCCTTGTTGGGACCATCTGTGTTGGCAAGTGATTTATGGAGTGGTTTCTGGTATGGTACTGTATCTTCATCAGTTGTTGAAGGTATGGGGAAGTATTCCTGGTGCTGGAGAATGAAGGTTTGCTTGCGTTAATAATTATCATGGCATTCTAGATATCCAAATTCATTGGTACTGAATCCCTCTATTCCATCGGGATATCCATTCAGGCTGGACTCTTTTTTTTTTTTTTTTTTAACCCCCCAAAATTGTACAAATGATTGAGCATTTATTTTAGCATTTTTATTACTAAAATCACATAGAATATTATTTTTATTACAGTTTAATGCTATTTATGTTACAACTAAAACTCTTGCACAAAGTCTAAGGTTCATGTTTAGGACCTGGCTACACTTACCTTGTGTCTAGTGTCTGCCTTCTGTTGCTTCCGGGGATCAACAACCCTGCAGCCTGGTCTCCAACCAGGGCTCCCCCCCCCCCAATTGGTTGTCTGGTCAATCAGGCTGTTGGATACGACTGCTGAGCACTTACATTGTGCACTGAATTATATAATGTACATGCAGTATATTTTTTATGTACAGTACACTGTGCTACAGGACCCTGTTAATGATAATTAACAGGTGTTGTGCATGCACAATAAATGCTGTGCAGCATTGCATGGATAATACAGCACTGTACTGTACATGTGTATGATTTCCTTGTCCAAAAGTTGAATCAGTGAAGTAGTGTACAATTTAATGGCAAAAATGTAGCTGGTCAGTTTTTTTAATAATTTATGCATGCCGATTGGCACAGTATTTTTCTAGACACTTTCATCTCTTTGACTGTACATGACTGAGCACTTTTCCTAATAATGCATTAATAATATGAATAAAAATAAGAATAATAATTTCTCAATAATAATAATTTATTTATGCAAGAATACATACATACATATGATACATGAACATTAGGGATTTGATAGGCAAGAAAAGTTCCATACATAAAGCCACTAATATTCAGAGTTTGCACTTCTGTGTGTTAAAGCATTTGCTAAACATATGAGATGTTGAGCCTTTGAATCGACTCCTTGCCCCTATTTGGTGCTAACTCATCACTAGTCACTAGAGTATTATGTAATTGGGATTAGTAAAAAGAATCCCGTTTCTTTAGGGTTACAAGTTTGATCTGCTATAAGGTTGTGATCATGTCAAATTTCACACCCAATATTTTCTGCAAGCTGTATCTTCTTGAGGTCATCTTGAGATGATTTCGAGGCTTAGCGTTCCTGCGGCCCGGTCCTCTACCAAGCCTCCTTTTTGTTACACATCCCCAGGAGGCAGCCCGTAGCAGCTGTCTAACTACCAGGTACCTATTTACTGCTAGGTAACAGGGGCATCAGGGTGAAAGAAACTGCCCATTTGTTTCCACCCCCACCAGGGATCGAACCAGGAATCTCAGGACTACAAATCCAAAGCACTATCCACTCAGCTGTCAGGCCCCTGTGTACCTGTAAATTTTGCCCAATTTTGGTTATCATTCATTCTATAGTGAATGGATATATATGTGCCACCATAATATATATGGTGGCAGTAGAGCAGCTTAATCAGGCACAAGTTCTTCACATGCTCAATTTTTTTTTTTTTTTTTAAGATTTTACTTCTATCTTCATATGCACCAAAACCTGTTAGTGATGGGAAAACAAATTAAAATAAATATACTGGTAAGTATTTTAAAGCTCATTCTTCCTTGATTGACATTGATGCAGTACCATAGCCATAAACCCGTGAAAAATGTTGCATGTGGAAGAGCTACTAACTGTGTATCCCACAACAATTCTTACATACCCCCCATACATGTATATATTTTTTGTAGTTAATTACATATACATACTGTATGATGAACCAAATAATGTCATAAATTATATGTTTTCAGAATTAATAAATATTGTACTGTACAGTATTATATTTCTTTTTGTTTGGGAGCACAGGTACTGTGAATGTTTAAAATAAATTGGATAAATTTATACAATTTCTGCTGCTTTTTAACATATACTGTAACTCCAAACAGAAATAAAGTTAGTGGAGTTGTCAAATACAGACCCTAAGAGTCCTGGACATACTGTACACAATATTTTTTCACTAACTAAACAGAGCTCATAAAAAAGTTAAGCCCTTTTTTTTTTAATATACATTGTATGGCCGGTTCCAGAGATGGTCAGTTACAAGACCAAAAAGATAATACAGTACTACTGTACAGTATTACAGTACTTGGTTTTTGCATTGTGCTTTCATCTACAGGTATACCGTCCCATTAATAATATAGAAATTAAGTGCTGAATGTAATGCAATCCTTTTCTAATTAAACCATTTCTTAAGGCAAAGCATCAGGTCTTTTGAGACCCCACCTAATGTACCACAAGCCCGGACCAGAATCTGGCTCGTTTTGCAAGGCAAAGGGAGCTTTAAGGGCTCAAATATCTTAAAACTGGGAAAAATCTACCACCAAGAAACATATTATATAAACATAATAAATCAACCCTATTGTGCCTGACCGCCACCAGGTGGTGGCTCAGATCACCCGAAGCTCCAATCAGCCAACCAAAACTAACTAGCGTCCCTGCTAGTTAGCTAATTGCTAGCTAATTACCAAGATTACTAATCTTGTTAATATCTCAAGAATATCTTGTTAATTCTTGGTAATGATAATTGTTGTCAAAATCAAACCCCCGCTTTCCCAAGGGAAACTGGAATAGTGGGGTTCAATCAAAACTGCGGAATGGCATTCTGATGCCAGGATGTTTGCAAACTGCATTGATGGGGCTGGAGTCAGACATGGAAGTCATAATGACCCACCCATAAATTGAAATTCTAAAAAATTCCCACATAGATGAGCAATGCTAGCTACATGGACCATTATGTAGACAGGCAGTTGTATTGGGAGCATCTCAGGTTAACAAATGCCCTAACTCCAATCATAAATACCCAGTGGGAAAAGGCATAAGTAGCCACATAAAAGCAAATGCTTGAACAACCCAGGTACATTATCAGCAAAAGCGTAAAACCCTCATATGCAAGAGTAGGGCTAGATGTGATCACAATGCATAAACAAAGCACATAAAACTTGTAAGGAAACTCTGCTCTCCATTGACAGGCCTCGCAGGGCAGGACAAGTCCTGTGAACTTGAACTTGGAATCAAGGTGTCTCAAGAGGAATCAAATGCAAGCTAACCACCAGGGAATGAAACCATGTTATAAAGTCAAAGCATTATAATAAGCTAGAGTACACACAATGTTGGTGATCTAAAATAACAATCGAGATGAAAAATAGGATATAACAACAAAGCATTGGCCTCTTGGGGAAAAAGACTAAACAGGCATAGCCATCACCATTCAGCTTAAGCGTGATGCAGTAGAATGAGCCCAGCAGAGAAGTACCTCCTAAGATTGACTAGGCCAGTGAGTTGATAGGGTTGGTTGATTGGTTGGTTGGAGTCTCAGGTGACCTAAGCTGGTAACTGGTGATGGTCTAGCACAACTGGCTTGGTAAGTCAATGTCTTGGTAATGATAATTTGCATTGTAACTTTTGGGCCCTTAATTTTACCCAAATAGTGTTTTTTTGGGTGAGTGGGGGGGGGGATTACTTATGCTTTCTGGGAGTTTTCAGTTTTGGGTAGATCTCTGATCTCTGAGCTCCCTTTGGCTCGTAGAAGGAACAAGATTCTGGTCCTAGTCAAGGTGGGTATCAGAGATTATTCGGTCAAAAGCATGACTTAATCAGCATTTAGCACAGGAAAGTTGCTGAGGGGGGGAAGAATATCTTGTGAATTATTTAGGCTTTACTTTGTTACTGATAGTTGTTACAAACCTGGTATAGGTTTAAGGGGTTTGTTGAAAAGTATACTGGTAATAATATAATTATATCTCGCAAACAGATATGGCAGGATTATTGCTACTGTTTCTTGATATAAATATTGATTATTCTTAAAGAAGTGTAATTACTTGTACTATAGTTTGAAAAGCATTAAAGAGAAACAGTGGAGATTGATCTAGCAATATTATTGTTAATAGCTATACTCACTGTGTTTTATCTTAATTAGCATTTGTTCATGTATGAATAATATAATTAATATAATAAATAATAATATATTAGTCCACAATAGTAACTGATGTAAATAAATATAATTGATATAAAATACACACTTACTGCTTTAGGAAATTTTAATTTGTTGTACAAGATAGCTACTTTAAGTCTCCACATTTACTGTATAGGTTTAATCAATTTATATTGTGCTTTGTAGATTTCCTATTTTTAATATTTTTATAACAGACACGGAACGACTGTATGCACAGGCAGCAGAAATAATAGCTACAGAATATGGAAAATCATTCACATGGGAGATGCAGGTGCACTGTATGGGTCTCAAGGCTAATATTGATGCTCTCTATAATATTGAATCTCTTGATCTACCCCTCACTGTGGACCAGTACTTGGATAAAGTCAGTCTTGTGTATAAAACTGTGTTTCCAAGCGCCCAGTTAATGCCAGGTATTGCTCTATCAGTAACAGATTAATTTGCAATACAATATAGAGTTTTGTCATACCTGGCTTGTGAGTTATTGTATGAAATGTTGCATAGTGCAGGCTAATTGGTCTTTTTGTCTTTTTCTTGTTCTCAGTAAGCAACATTATCAGCTGTTGTGCTCTAAAATACCTCCATCTTATTGCCTTTATGTCTGTTGTTATCCAACACTCTGGGTGCATTCTCATTAATCATTACCAATAGTTACAAGATGCTTTTGACAAGCTGCCTTATTGTAAAGATGCCAGACTTCAGTCACCTTAGAAACTGGTTTGTGTTTAAATTGGAGATAAAATTACCATACAATTACAGGTTCTATAATAACTTTAGGAAAATTGAATAAATAATTAAGTCAAGATTTTTATCTATATAAAGACATCAAAATTCAATTTGTTGATGCAATACCAGTACTTACCGAGATATTAACGAAAATATTTAGGCATCCAGACTTATGGTGATCACAAAGTGATCAGCCACATGTGTACTGGTGTAAAAGCCAGGTGCAGGAATTATATCAACATTTTTAAAATAATTTCTCCAGTGTTAATATGTTTTGTGATCTATGTTTTACTGTATAGTGCTTAGTACCTGCAGGTTTAAAATTCATATCATAGAATACCCTCACAACCACCTAAATGTTTGGTGACTTGTATCATGAGAGCCAGTGAGTGTTAATATCTGATATTACTGTACAAGGTAGCATAGTATGTCAGTATTGTTTGATGGATGATGACTGGCATCTGCCACTCCCATATTTGGTGGCTCGCTCAAATGGTACTATAGGAGGCTCTATCACCATGCAAACTTTCACTATTTCAGTCTCTGACCCCCCTTCCCCCACACTTACTTTCATATATTGTTCCATGCTTCCCTTGCATATTACTAACTGCATGCATCCACTGTATGATACCATTATTTCACCCTAGTACATCATTCTTGTTAAATGATTCTCAGTTTTCAGAAGTAGAGTGAAAGGGAAGGGAAGGGAACTATCAAGATCACTGGAAAAAATAGAGGGAGTGCCAAGCCATTACGACTATATAGCACTTAGAAGGGGGATAAGGATTTGGGAAGGGGCGGAGGGGAAGGAATGGGTAGAAGTAAAAATACAATCTAGCTGGAGCAATTGAATATGTAACAGAGTGAGGTGAAGTAAGGTGTCGCATGGGCAAATAGGTCCAGTGCGGCTTACCCATTTCGTGTGTTCCAATGATGGTTAGGGTAACAACCCCAACAGAACTGTAGGATGTTCTGTCTTGGTCCATAATTGAGATTTAGCTGGCTAACATCATATAAAACATGCATGCATGCATATTGCATGTGTGTGTGGACATGCTGTACCTCTGATTTATCTTGTGTTTACTAAAATACTGTAATAGAATAAAAACAATAGAATATAAAATATTTGCTTCCGGTATTGTACTCTATACACTGTCAAGTGTTTGTATTGATCATACCTAGCATCCTTTCTTTACATCCTTAGGTACAGCTTTAAGTGATTAAGAAAATGTATAAATGTCTTGTATATATTTACAACAGACACGGAGAGGCTATACACAGATGCCACGCAGGCAATTGCATCACAGTACAGCAAGGTGTACACTTGGGAGATTAAAGTGAGGTGTATGGGAATGAAGGGATCTATGGCAGCACAACACATCATTGAATCCCTTGAACTGCCACTTACTGTTGAGGAGTATCTTGAGAAAATTGTCAGTCAGTATGACGTACTCTTCCCTAATGCCAAAGTCTTACCAGGTACATTAATACATAAGAAAATTGTGGTCTGTTCTATATATATTTATTTCTAATGTATGTCTTATTAATTTTATATACAGTACAGTATATATAAGTAAATATTTGGTAGTGTTTCTTTAAATGCTTAAGCTGCATGCTCACTGTGCTAACCCCATCAGATTGAAAAATGTATTTGGGAAGTATCTTGGAGTATTTGTCTGTACCGGTACTGTATTTCAGAGGGTTAGTTTATATTACATAACAAGGTGCAGTACTTTCTGCACTATTCATTGCAGTGCTAATAATTTCATAATATTTAATGTTTCCTCTATGCTTGTTACCTGGTCTATCCATTACATGATGCAAGTCCTGTACTCTCCTTTCTAAAAAAAAAAAATTAACCTGCTAATGATGTGTTTCCAGACAGTTCATAGCCATTTATTAAAAAAAAATTGTTGTACTACCACCTTTATTTTATTGGTGCCATACACGCTGTACAGTACACTTTCATACTACATACACTGTAGCACTGTCTCGAATAGCCGACTCCTCCAACCCTGTTATGATGACAGGTGGTGTAGCCTTAGATTTAATAAAACAAAAATTGCAGAAATAATTGGTAATTGTGATACAGTTTTTCTGTTTTTTACTTCCATGGGGAAGTTTGATCTGCGATTCATTCTGTTGTATCATAGCAAGGTTGTACTACTAGCAGTGGTTTAGGTTGCACTCACCACTGTTTCCCATCCCTTCGTCAATAACAGGATCAATTACAAAAATCTTCATCACTGATAAATATGTCTAGTGCTTGGTGGGTTATGCAAGTCTTGAGTGGACCATATTGGAGCCAGCTGTGAGGCCATTCATGCAATTTAAAAAAAAAAAAATTCTATTCATACCGTTGCACACAAAAATGAAGATGAACATTGATATCTAAGGGAAGGTCTACAATTTTGCAGATATGAAAAAAGTATTGTTGGAATAATAATGTACTAAAGATTAATTCTTCAGTACAGTATGAAACCCAGCCTTCCATAATACCTTCCATACTTTATAGCAACACAGCAAGCTGCAACCCTAACAAATATCTACACCTGTACTGCAGATTTTTTGTAGATTACCTGTAATATATACCATCATTTTAAATTAACCCCATTCACATGTTGAGAAATGACCCAAACTGTGTCAAATAATTTAGAAGCAGGTTTACAATGTGACCAATTAATTATGCCCTGTATCCTAGGGATACATTATAGTTTTCACAAGTCAGCTTTATCCCAGTAAGGATCAGCACATTTCCAGAAGATATTTCTGGAGCATAGGAGAGGTTACAGTATTAACAGTTCGTCACAAACAACCGAGACGTATGAAGTATCAGAAAAGTGTGACTGGAACCAATTATTCCCCACATATCGATAAATGTCATCCTGATGACAGTAGAACAGCAGCCCCATCAACCAATTCTCACACAAGTGCGTGATGAAAAGACCAAAGCCTTTGAGGATCTACAGCTAGTGAATGGTTGCACCTCCAAAGGATACCTGATCAACCAGGCTGTGACTCATACGTCAGGCTGCGAGCAGCCGCGTCCAACAGCCTGGTTGATCAGTCCAGCAACCAGGAGGCCTGGTCGACGACCGGGCCGCGGGGACGCTAAGCCCCGGAAGCACCTCAAGGTAACCTCAAGGTAGTGAAGGAGACTGGAAATCCAAGCTCCTAACAGGCAACACCAAAGCCAAAGCTCTGGTCACAGAATCTTAAACAGAACCTATGTCCTGAAAACATCATACATGTGTTGAGGTGACAGAAAGAAGCACATTCCTCTCAAACCATAAGGGAAATATTAGAGGATTACTAAAGCTGGAAACTGAGACTACCCATGCAACCGAGTACAATTATGTTGCCCACTGAGGTGCAGGTTTAAACAGGGTGGCCCCCAATGATGACAAACATGTTGCAAACCCAGTGTCACTGAGACCTACCCTGAGCTTACAGGACAGATGCAAGAGACAAAAAAGGAAAGTGGAAGAGTAATTCTGTACTCTACTAGGTTACCCTCCAATCTGCAAGCATAATGTGCTAGTCACCTAGGTGCTTCACTGCTCTGCCAAAACACGGGAATCCGTTAAATATATCATATAGTATGTTGGTACAATATGGTACAGACTTTTTAAAGATGAAAACAAGTCCAACTTAACTGAATATGGGTCCCAGCCTGCAGACAACACACCAGACAATAATTAGGAAATAGTGAGAGCCTTGTTTGGTAACTACTCTGTTCATTATTTTTCTAGTGACACCCCTCATGACATGACCCTGCAGAGATACATGAAAATTCCATGCTGGTGGTGTACCGTATGCCACCTTGCTCGATTGCTGATACCATATCCAAGAACACAGTGGGATAATAGTTGAGGGAGCAGAGGGAAGGGAGAATTCAGAAAATGCTATACAATTTTTATATATTTTTTTTTTTTACCATGCAATGCATTCACAGTGCAGTGTTTATATACAGTACTGTATTTGTTCTTGTGCATTTAAATGTGCATAAAGCTGTGTTCTATAATCTATGTTAAGAAAAATACAATTTAGTAGTTATCTTGATATAACCGAAATCTTGAGAGTTCGTAGCAGGTCCGATACAAATGTTTTCATTCTTTTAAGGCTACACAGAATTGTACATCACTTGAAAACATTAAGTAAAACTATGAATAGGTCCCAGGCATTGTAATGTATATCATTACAAATTGATATGTTGCATTGTGCAGTATGCTGTGCTTATTGTCATCGTTATTATCATTTTAAAATTTGATACTGTGTTGCTCAGTTTATATGCCATTATTTATTGCAGACACTGTGGACTTGTATTTGTCTATCCACAATGAAGCCCTTGCATCATATGGCCATTCACTGACTTGGGAAAACATAATGGCTGAAATGGGACATACTGGATTGGAAGTTGCACAGAAATTTTGTGCCATGTTCAATTTGAAAATTTCCCCTGATGAATACTTTAAACGGGTGAAATCTTTTTATCCAGAATTGTTTCCAACAGTGAAAGTAATGGGAGGTATTTTAGTGTAAAGTATTGTTTAACTAGGTATTAGATGCAAATTAAAATTAAATTTGAAAAATATAGAGGTACGAAACCTTCACTGCAACACACATGGTGGCCTGCGAAGTTTTCCCAACATTCAGGCACCAACCCACAGTCTAACTACCTCAGAACCGGCAATGTTCGAACATGGCAATTTGATCATATTTATGGCACCATTAGGGAATAAACCATCCCACCTGTTGTTACATCCAAAAATATATTAGTTCTATATACTCAAGCACAATACTGCACTTAGTAATAATAATATTAGAGTACTAATACTTCCAAGGATGATGTCTAGGGATTTTGCTGTTTTGAATAATTGGTTGTTGTCGCAGACTTTGGTGAATTTGAGGCATCTACCAAGGAGCTAGGTTGAGATGCTAAAGTTTCTTAAATGACTCCCTCTTTCTGCACACATTCTCTCACATATCATGATGACTCTTAAGTTGTCTTAGCCACCTCTCATTAAACAAAAACTGCTGAGTAGCATAATGATATTTTTGTTTAAAAATCCTTTGCCTTCATAAGCATCCAGTTTAATAACATGTATGTACTGGTACAGCACATGTTGCTAGATTGCTAGAAATATGAAATAAAAAAAAAACACATTCATATCATCTTTGTTAGTACTACTCTTACATTGCATCATCAGTGAAATTTACTTTTGCCTGACTGGTACTCTCAGTTATATTGCTTTATCACTTTCCAGTGCACCTAAAGCTTATAGGGATGTCACTCTCCACTTAATTGATTCTACTTTCTGCTGAAGATTTATCTCAGAATGTTTCCTCTTGTATTTGCTGCTAGTAGAAACTTTCACTGACACATTTCCACTATTTTGAGCTGACATGGTGGCAGGATGCTCAATATTTTCAATGTGGTATCAAGGAATGGGAGCGAGAAAAAAATAAGATCATCAATGTTTGCTCCCTTGTGACAACCTGGGAAGCAACTTAGGTGGCTTTTGTCACTGAGAGGCAGGTTAGATAGGAAAGTAAATACTGGTAGTGGCACTTTTGAGTGGATGGCAGTGAAACTGTTGGTTGGTGCCTGTAATGCTTTTTCAGTGAGCACTGCTTTCTCATTCACTGTTGTTAATTTTTCACATGTTTGTGCCTGTGTGTCATTCTCTTTTTTTTTTTTTTTTTTTTTTTTACTTTAACATTTTTTTTATTTTCTAAGACTGTGCCCATTCTCTATAGACACTTGTAAATACTGTATAATATTCTTTACAACATCCCTTTGGTGGGAGCTTGCATACGCTTATTATTTTCTGGATTGGCCCCTTAGTAGCTCCCAGGTGCTTTGACTCTCATTTGCTATTATTCTACCAGGCCTCTCTAATTGCATAGATGTACCAAACACCAAAAACAGAATCTGATATGTCCATAGACACTAGGACAGAATCGGGATCAAAGATCAACCCAAAACAGAAAAAAATGCCCAGAAAATACAGGCAGGGCAAAGTTATCTACATGTCCTGATTAAATAGAGAAATGAAGGAAATGATAAGAACAGTAGTTCGCCGATGTTAAACAATCATCATGTTAGTACCCAAGAGCAGCACCAAGTGTTCAGCTCAGGTCACTGTAGAGTTCAGCCAACCTACATTTTCACTTGTGTGCCTGTTACTCCCCCAAGATGCTCTTTCTATTTCTTCTGGGATTAGTTACCTGTTTTTGATAAGTGGTGTTTTATTTCTTAGGACAATATTGTCTTGCTGGGAGCCATGCTTAGTACTTGGTTTCTACTTAAACTTTATGATTGTGTTTATGCTACCCACCATGGAGATCCTTAATCTGTTAGTTGACTCTGACATTGTTTCAAGGTTATTATCCTTGGTGTTGATTTAGATTTTTTCATTTTCTCACAAGAATTGTCCTCCTTTATGGGGCTTTTACTTTTAGAGTTGTTAATTGGAGAACCTTTTCAACCCTGACACAAGTGTATGGAAAAACCTGTTTGGCGCACCAACAGCTGTTCAGCTGACACCCCGGGTCCCAGTGTTGATGGAAGAATGTGCCTTGTTACAGAAAATTAGCTTTGACCAGTATGTCCCTTAGAGATTTCTCTCTTATCCATGCCAACATAGGAGTTTCTTGCGGAAAGTTTTGCCATGCTGTGTGCTGTTCATAGGTGGTCTTGAGGCAATCCCACAAGTTAATGAGTTCTTAGCAAAGAGGACCTGCAATTCCTAGAAAATAGAGAAGTGGGAAAACTAGTTTCTCATTAGCATTATGTACTTGTTTTGTGTATAGGAGGTCATGTCTGTTCCTCCTGCTTAGTTTGCTTTTGCATCTTGTAGGTCCTCATCTGGGTAACCTCTATGTTTGAAACAGCCATACAATGTGTGTTCTTGTTCTGAAACTTGTCTCTATTGCTTATAATTCTTTTTAATCTTAAAGAATATGGTATAGATTTGTTTAGTGATAGCAGATTGCTAGAAGAATAGAGCAAGTAAGAGTGAAGATTCGCCTGCTTGTAATGTACTGTCGTGTGTAGCCTTCTATAAGCTTATTCTATATAGACTTGCCTAGAAACAAAATGTTTGTCACTTGTTTCTATGCTAAACCTTAGGTTTGTATGAACCGTATTTGCCCAATTAAAAAAATGTTCAAGCTTTTGCCTTCTGCCATTATTCCCAAAATGTCATCTATATAGCGTAGGTACATTATTAGACTGTGTATTCGAGCCGATTCAAAAACTGTGTTGAAAAATACTAGTATTTGGGCTATTGCCACACTACTTGATGCCCTTATTGCTGTACCCTTTGTCTGAAGGTTTTATTGTCAAATGTTAGTAGTGTGACCCCTCATTACATGGAGGATAGCTTCCTCAAGACGTTTTTCACTTGTTGCCTAAATACTCCTGACTGTCTAAGGTCCTGCCTGGTTCTGAGTTTATTAACGTCAAAGAATTCTGTCACCCTTCCGGCTGCTGCTCTGTGGAAGCAGACTCATGTTCAGGAAATGTTTACATTTCTTTTCTTCAATTTATTGACATTATTTGGTTCTGATAAAAACTCAAAACATAATATTTAAAAACTTCTGTTAATGGTTCATCCCACATTAGCACTGAAGTGTTATATTTTTGTACTGTATTGTTAACTATTTATGCAATCAGTTTTCAAGTCAATCAATTATATTAAGCTTTTGCATTGCTGCTTCTTGGTTCACTGTCCTCCTGTTTGGTGTATGACATTCTAATGGCCACTCTCGCAGTTTCTCAGCCTTGCACTTGAAAATTACTGTATATTACTCTGCTGGATTCTTTCTTTGTTTGTCACATGTAACACCTCAAATGCTTCGCTTTTGGCTTACGTGTGTACTTCTTTTTATCTCCCGTGAAATCTTGTCTTTTACTCATGTGTGTCGGGTATTCTGTAGCAGCTCTTGCACCATAACAGCCCGCCCCTGCCCCCCCTCCCTAGCCAAATGCTTTCCATAGTTGGCATGATTGTTTGCTTTTCAGTGCATGCTCTGTCTTGCTTTTGGGTGTTTAGACATTATTGCTTTTATTTAAGAAATGAACATAATGTTGGAATATGACTATAAATTATGCTGGTTTCTTTAATCAGTATTCAGATTTTTAATTAATATTTGTTTTATTAGAGCAATCTGTATAAGTATATAAATTTGTAATTCTGATAGATTAACTCAATATTTAAATCATTTAATTGAAATTTTAATATTCATGATACAATTTTGACTGTCATGTAATGTACTATTTGTATGTTACTAGAAAGTTGTAATTAAAATTAGTTTTAAATTTAATTAGTTTATTACCATTGACATTCTTTAATTTTTTCTTTTACTTCTCATAGGGGCTGAAAAACTGGTTCGCCATCTCCACAAACACAACATTCCCATAGCCATTGCTTCAGGCGGTGCTCAAGATAGTTATGAATTGAAAACAACAAATCACAAGGAGTTTGTTACCATGTTCAATCACGTGGTGCTAGCCTCCACAGACCCAGAGGTCAAAAACGGAAAGCCTGCTCCAGATGTTTTTCTCGTATGTGCGAGTAGATTCTCTGATACTCCCAAACCTGAGCAGGTATGTGATTGGTAACACATCCCAAATACAATAGGTGCTTTTCTTTTGCTTTAATTTTCAGGCTTCTGTAACACTGACTTAAGATATTTTGTTTAAGAGAAGGTTGGTTTTGTAATCCCAGTTTTAGAATACTGCAATGATTATGGGTATAAGAAAGGGAGGGGGGGGCTATAAATGTGGTTTTAAGCACAAGTTCTACTGTGCCATATATCCATCTTACATATACACTACAGTCAGCCCTGGCTTTCTGTAGGGCAGGAGTTTTCAGGCTTGGTTACACAGATCTTTGGTGTTCTCTTAGTATTTACATGTTAGAAGGTTGTTCCAGTCTAGAGTGACACAATTGCGCAGTGGTAAGTGCAGTTGGGTCACTGCAGAAAAGACGCTTGTTTGTTTCTCTTGGCAGGACAGAAGCATTTGGGCAGTATTTCCTTTCACTTGATGCCTCTTCCCCCTAGCAATGAATATGTACCTGTATGTTTAGCGACTGTTGTGGGTGGTATCCTGGGGTTCTCAGTAATGCACCTAGGGGAACTTTGATAAGTCTTAACAGGCTTTATGTCCCTGACTATAGGAAACTATACTGGTATATATTCTAAAGTTGTTCTAGGGTGTATGTGTTTCAGTTCATTCTAGTCAATAGAGAAACTATGAAACAAATGTATACTAACATCATATAAACATAACAGTACTTATTTCTACTATGAATGAAATGTGCAAGACATGGACTGTTGCAACCAAACAAAGCCCGTGTTTAAAATTTCTCAACATTAAAGTCATATCTTGTGGAGTTGTGGATTGAGATAACTTCCATGACATCACATTTTGGTGCAATATACATGTTGACTTCCTATACTGGATTCAAGGATTTCCTTATTTCCTTATGGTTCTTTGACCCATATACAGTACCTGGTATGAACATTTCCATGGCTTCTGAGCATTTTCTTGCCACATACTCCATCATTTAATTTGCTGTTTTTCCCTCTAGTTTGTTTCATGCAGGACTTTATACAAATGCAGGTAGTTGATTACCCTTGTAAAGTCTCATCCTATCCTGCCTCTCCATTATTCTGAGATTGACTTAGCTATTCACCCATAAATACTCTACCCCCCCCCCCCCATCATCCCTGGAATTATCAACAAAGATACAAATATCCTTTCTAAATATAAACTAAAATTGCTGAAATTTGTCATGTGTCTACAAACAGTAAACCCAAAAACAAGAAAGATAAAATGCCCCAAAATACTAGTGGGTGTGGATGAGCTTAATTTCAGAATACAAGCACTGTACAGTTATAAAACTTACCGAGTCCATAAGTCAATATTGTATATTGTTGTAGATGTTCAACCAGTATGAGGTGTACAACATATTTATATATAGTAGAAGAGATAACCAGAGGCTAATTTACACAACCTGCGAAGAAGTGTTTCTTCAATTGTTGCATTTGACTCGTCAAGTGGGCCTGCATTCACAAAACGCTTCATCTAACTTGTCGAGTGTTTTTGCCACTTCACCGTCCACTTCATCTGACTCGTCAAGTGAGCCTGCCACTTTACTGTCCACTTCATCTGACTCATCAAGTGAGCCTGCATTCACCATCCTCTTCATCTGACTTATCAGTTGAGGCTGCAACTTCACCATCTCCTAAACCTTGCTGATCAACTCAAGAGGAATCTATTGCCTCAATTTCTTCTTCTACTCAAGCATAAGTCATTGCCAACAAACATACAGACAACCACAATCAACTACTTAAGTGAAATGTAACAATTTCCTTTTGTACATTACTTTTTTGTCGAGCACATAAATTTTGTTGTACTGTCCATATATGTGAAGAAAAATGCCAGTTATTAACACACAAATCCACCTTTTTGAAAGTTCTTTCTAGGGAGAGAGTAGGTACAAATATGATAATGGGCACTTTGCCAGTACTTCATGGCTCTTGTCCTCAGATAAAGTTCTCGAGAGCAATTTCCCCACTTAACTCTAGTCTTATAATACAGTACCTCTCATAGTTACTGTCTGTCTATCACTAATCCATTTTGTGGAATGGCTTACTACACTATGCTTTCCCTGTTGACTGTGGTCCCCAAACATTCAAGAACCCTCGGTGGAATTTCACTTTTAACTTGGTGATATTTTTCCATTTCCTAGGATGTGTTCTGTTGATTATTCAACTTTGCCTATGCTGTTACATATTTATGAAGTTTTAACATGCAATTTGATTGTGTACTGCGGTTACAGGATGCAAGGTCTTGTTCTGTCATAGTGGGAAGAATTAAATATTACACGTGTAATATTTATTATGACTGAATTGAATGTCTTTTCTGTGGGGAGCCCCTTCGGCTTCTAGGAGCTATTGAGCTAAAATGCGATACATTAGACCAGGGCATTAGCCAATGGAGTTGAGCCTACCGGGGACCACAAACCAGAACCTGGACCCCCTCAGAGAGGCACAGGGAGCAATGGCCCTGGGAAACAACCCCCATGGTTGGGTGTTTTCCTTATCTGCTATCAACCAAGGGGGAGCCGGTCGGCTGAGCGGACAGCATGCTGGACTTGTGATCCTGTGGTCCCAGGTTCGATCCCGGGCGCCGGCGAAAAACAATGGGCAGAGTTTCTTTCACCCTATGCCCTTGTTACCTAGCAGTAAAATAGGTACCTGGGTGTTAGTCAGCTGTCATGGGCTGCTTCCTGGGGGTGGAGGCCTGGTCAAGGACCAGGCCGCGGGGACACTAAAGCCCCGAAATCATCTCAAGATAACCTCAAGATAGGCACCCAGAAAGGCAGGCATAACAATACAGCCCACATGGTAAGAGAATTGCAACCAAAAACCGAACAGAGGCAGAACTTCCTCAATTCCCAAGAAAACAACTAAACAAGCAAATGTCACACCTTGCCACTCATCCGTGCAGGCCTCCCCTTTCTGGGAGGGGGAGGAGGGGAGCCCTGGACCCCCCTGTGAAGGCTACCCAGTAACTCCAGTTTATTCTGTAAGCTTTCTTGTGCTCTGTTTCACCTCCGGCCTGCTCATGTTCCGCCTGAGTCATCCTAGTCCTTGGGCAGGGTGCTCTCCTATCTCTCTTCTCCTCGGTTGATGGTGACCTCTTCAGTTCAAAATTGTTTTTCCAAGGCTCTCTTTATGTTGGCATTGGCCTCTGGGGGTCGAGTTGGTAAGCTTCATGCTCTCCTCCAGCACAGGGGTTTCTGCTTTTTTGATCCTGGTAGTCGGCGTGTTCAGTTGTAGCCTTCTCCTTCTTTTCTGGCAAAGAACGAGATGGCTGCTTTCCAGAGGGGTCCTAGGGGCATTGATGCTTGGTTGGTCAGGCCGGGGGTACATTATGTGTTGTGTCCGGTTGCAGCTCTTCCCCGTTACCTGCGTGTCTCGGCTTCGGTGGCCGGAGATGCACTTTGGGTTGATCAGATTTCCCTCGTTCCCTGTTCCAGGGCACAGGTCTTCCAGATCGTCCGCAAGGTTATTAAGTCTAGCCAGCCTGCTAGACTTAATAACTTAACTTAGACTTAATTCGGCTTCTGTGGGGAGCCTCTTCGGCTCCCCACAGAAAACCAGCATTGATGTAATGAAACGCCATTTTCTGGGTGAGCCCTGGAGGCTCCTTGGCAAACTGGTCGGCAGTTTTTCGCATTGTTTTGATGCTTAGCCTCCGACCTGGAGTGGCTGGGTAGCCACCGTGAGGGTCCGGGGCTCCCCCTCCTGGGGAGGGGAGGACTGCGTGGACGAACAGCGTGGCAGCAAAGTGTGACGTTTGCTTCTTTCCTTGGGAATTAAGGGAGTTCTACATCTCTATTCGGTTTTTGGTTGCAATTCTCTTACCATGTGGGGTCTATATTGTTATGCCTACTTTTCTGGGTGCCTAAGCCTGGATGATAGCCGATAAGGAAAACCCCAACTATGGGGGGTTTCCAGGGCCATTGCTCCCTGTGCCTCTGAGGGAAGGGGGGGGGGGCCAGATTCTGGCTTGTGGTCCCAGGTAGGCTGAACTACATTGACTAATGCCCTGGTCTAATGTATAACATATTAGCCCGATAGCTCTAGGAAACCTCCTAGGCTCATCCAGAAAAAGGCGTTTCATTAAAACACTGATAATATTATTATATTTATAATATTTATTATCATTAAAATGCTGAAAATATAAAAAATATGCTGTTATTTTTTTTTTTAATATTTAACCTTTCCCTGTGTTGCTCTTCTCTCTTCACCAGACAAAGTCCTCTCCACTCATTGACAGGGAAAATGGGGTAATTATAGTGTAAATGAACTTTATTTGCAGTGCCTGGTGTTTGAGGATGCTCCAAATGGTGTAGCTGCAGGAGTTGCTGCTGGGATGCAAGTGATAATGGTTCCAGATTCTCGCTTGGATGATAAAATGACTAAAGGAGCTTCGCAGGTTTTGAAGTCACTTGAAGACTTCAAGCCAGAATTATTTGGCCTACCCAAATATGACGATTAAATTTATAATGTTAGCAATGCATATGTCTGTATCCTTTACCCAAAATGGAAAGGGCAGTAATTATGCATTATTTTAAAATAGAAACTAATGTTAGTGAAAAATCATCATTTTAATTTGGCTGCTGATCAGATTTAACAAATTATTTTATTGAAAGGAAATATTTCATATAATATTGCAGTGTGAATGTTTCCCGTTTTCAAATATCAGAAATAATATTTTATCCTATGCCAATATCTTGGCATTATAAGATTCAACAACAGTTTGGAGACTGTTGAGACTTTCATTCCTCTTTTTCTTAGTTTTATTTATCTGTTGTTTGACAGATTTGGAATACTTTACATCTAGTCTGTTAATTGACTGAAATGATGGAAAACTTTCACCAACATATTAGCTTAATTTAAGGCTGGTGAACTGGTGTTAGTTCCTTGTAATGGTACCAAGTGCAGAAGGTGAAATGAAAAGTTTTTGCAAATGTGGGGGATAAATTTGTTGTTGTGTATGTTGGATAAGATTAGGCAGTTTGCAACTTTTATCTTGGAGACGTTTCTGTAATCTTTGAGAAGAATAGTAAATTGAAAGTGTGTTTAGATAGAATTTGTATAATGTATGTAGTTGTGCATTGAATATTGAAATTATATGCCCATGTATGAAAATGATGTAAATCTTTTTATCTTTGTGTATATTTTTGTATATATGTATGCACTTTAATTTTTTACCAAAACAATAATGAAAACCTTATTAAGGTAATGAAATGTTGCTCACTGCAATGTTAGCACAGTGTATGAGCAAAAATTATTCAAGCATTTACTGTCTTCCTGTCTTCAGTATATACACAGTATATATTATGGTGTTCAGTTGGTATAGAACACCAGTGAAAACATCTCTCAGAGGCAGACATGAAGTAGAATTTTGTTTTTGCATGGTTTCTTGCATCCAATTGTTGAGCCATACTTATCATTGATATTTCACTTCTTGCTACTTAGCAGATTTTTTTTTAACTATTAGCAAATTTGTTATTCAGTTAAGAACTCGAACGCCCAAAATATCCATGATAAATGAAACATATCTTGTTGTTGTTATGTTTGAAGGTTGCAAAGTATCAAAGTTTACTTGTTAAAAAAACAGTATGCTGAGCATGCAAGTGTAAGAAAATGAGGGTGACAAACAAAAATGGCACAAGATGATCAAGTCATGGTTGGATGTAGCAAAAGATACATAATAAAAAAGATGGTACCCAGCCTGAGTTGTGTATATATGCTGATACCTATAGAGCATTTTTGCAAAGCAAGCAAATGCAGATTTGAATGACAAACTTGGAAATTTCCACGTGTATTTGATATGATAAGTCAACGCTCATCAATCTCTTCTTAAGGTTATCTTGAGATGATTTCGGGGCTTAGTGTCCCTGCGGCCCGGTCCTCGACCAGGCCTCCACCCCCAGGAAGCAGCCCATGACAGCTGACTAACTCCCAGGTACCTATTTATTGCTAGGTAACAAGGGCATCAGGGTGAAAGAAACTGCCCATTGTTTCTCGCCGGCGCCCGGGATCGAACCTGGGACCACAGGATCATGCGTCCTGTGTTCTGTCCACTCAGCTACCGGCTCCCTTGATCTCCCTCCCCGGATCTAAGCCAGGTAAAGAATATTATCTGTAAAGGATTAAGCAAACGGCCATTTTTCTAGTATAATTTACTAATGCAGAAACAGAATAAACACACATGCACATGAAAATTATTTATTAAAAGAATGCATGAATATTTCTTTACATAATTTATTTATGAGTATGCTAACACATTAAATGTAAAAAAAATAATTGCATATACAGTGCAGTCCATAAGTATTTGAACAGCTACACAACATTGTTTTGGTTCTGTACTCCAACATATTGAATTTTTAAGTGAAACCATATCCATGAGGTTAAAGAACTGACTCGGTATTGATTTAAAAGTATTTACATCATATCAATTGAACCATGTAGGAATTACAGCCCTATTTTTACAGTGATACCCTGAAATGAGAGATTTAACACCTTAATCAGTCATTGCCAAAATTCTTCTATTAGCTTCTAGATTGAGTGAGTTATTAGCAGTCAGAAACACATTACCTGCTCTTTGGAATGTTGGCTTTCCTCGCTATCATCTGTCTAGTCTTCACTTGACATTAGCTTGAACTGTCAGTGGGCTTGACACCTTGTGCTTAACCACTAATTAATTATGTGGATTAAACTCCAACACCAAGTAACTGTTTTTGTTCTTTGTCAAATTAGCTTGAATGTGGTACATTTCCCCCCCTCACATAGGCAATTCCCTTCACCATAAAGCAATTGAGAACCACTCTTTGTTAGCCAAGGTTTGTCATTCATTCGCATTAATAAATTCAATAATACCGGGCATGAATAATGTGACACAATAATCTTTATCCTCGATGATGAGTTGGAATTTCATGCTGTCCAGTGAAGTCACCAGGGTGAGAAGCAAACTCCAAGTTACCAACATCACCACTTGAGTGTTTTGTCCGATTCCAACATGGTTAAGCTGCAACCCTACACCTATTAAGTCACTTTTTTTTTTTACTGACTTCTGATGCTAGTAACTTCACTTAGCATATTTGACCTTGATCCAATCCTTGTTCACTCATTGGACTCCTCTCCTGCACCTCTTTTCTATTCCTTCCTCCTCCTCCCTTCCGCTCCCCCTTCCTACCCCTCTTACAGTTACTTAATTTTTCCAAACACCAGTGCCAGGGTGTCCACAAATTGACACCACGGTCTCCGGACATTAAATCTAGTGTGTTCAGACACTAGGCACCAGGATGTCCAGATGCTAGGTCCATGGTGTCCGGACACTAGGTACTAGGGTGTCCGGACACTAGGCACCAGGGTAACAGGCCCCTAAGTCCATGGTGTTCGGACACTAGGCACTAAGGTGTCCAGACACTAAGTACCAGGATTTCCAGACACCAGATCCATGATGTCTGGACACTAGTCCGGACACCCTGGTGCCACTAGGTCCATGGTGTCTGGACACTAGGTCTATGATGTCTGGACACCCTGGTCCATAGTGTCCAGACACTAAGTATATGATGTCTGGACACTAGGTCTATTGTGTCTGGACACTAGACACCAGGGTGTCTGGACACTAAGCACCATGGGTCTGGACACTTCACACCAAGGGTGTCCGGATACTAGACACCAGGGTGTTTGGACACTAGGTCCATGGAGTCCGAACACTAGGCACCAGGGGTCCGGAATTAGGTCCATGGTGTCCGGATACTAGGTCCATGGTTTCCGAACACTAGGTAACAGGGTGTCCAGATGCTAGGCACCATGATGTCTGGACACTAGGTCCATGGTTTCCGAACACTAGACACCAGGGTGTCCAGACACTAGGCACCAGGATGCCTTAGTCTGGGCACTAGGTCCCAGGGTCTCCACTAGATCTCCAATGGAACAGAAAACGCCAATATGATCCGTTCCAACGCCATTGCAGAAACTGTCAGAATGAAGTTAAAGGCAACAATGAACTGCCCTTGGGGCTCCAGCTCCGACGTTTACTTCGAAGTTGGTAAAAGAAGGCACAGGGACTCCAAACCTGGAGACCACCATGGTCAGGACCGGAGAAGAACAGTCCCAGCAAGGGCAAGAACGACCCCAGTCTCCTGGAGCAGAGGTTGGTTTGGGCGAGCCCCAGGAGGTGGATGTCAGAGTCCCGCACCTACAGGTTCCAGGCAGAGATCATCACAGTCCCCTTTCTCCCGAAGCCAACTTCCTTCATGACCCAGCAGAAGAAAGGGTAATAATCATTAATTACATCAATTATATTAATTATTATTATAATTATTATTAATTAAAATAATAAAATTATAAGGGAGTAGTATCAAATTATAAGGTATAAGAGAGCTTACCTACTTTAATTCATATACATGTAATAAAATACAGACTAAATCTTAAGCCATTTGTAATGTGGAAGCTGGGCTATGTGCTCAGCACTTGCTTAAAATGGCCTAAATCTACTGTATACTGAAATATTCTTACTTTTAATTAGTATTATATTGATAAATCACAAGATTTCACCTTCTCTGCCAGTTAACTTGTACATTTAGCTGTCAATAGTGGGGTGTACAGGTAATGGTAGTAAAGGAAAGTGTACAAGGGCAGTTATGGAAATGTCTTGAAGGTTATTAGGGAGTGCCCAGGGGGAAGTGGATAGGGAGTAAGGACAGGTAATATGTTGGGGCACTAAATGAAGTACAGGCATACCTCAGTTTAAGAGTTTAATTCGTTCCTGGAGACGGCTCATATTCCGAAGCTAATTTCCCCATAAGAAATAATGGGAAATGAATTAATCCGTTCCTGACTACCCTAAAAACCCCACATCAAACTAAATTTTTATACCTAATTCATCTAAATAAACCTACAAAACTATGTTCAAGTTATTACTTACCTTGCTGTTGAGTGCTGTAGGCATATGGAAGATGGTGAGGAGGAGAGGAGTTATTGTTTGGAAGGGGAGTCAGCTTCCATTATCACAGGCAGTGAGGACCTTTCTGGTGTGCTCTCCCTGGCACGTTTTATCTGAGTGCCACTAGGTCCTGGTTGAGGCTCACTGCTCGATTTCCTCACCACAAATCTGTCCATGGAAGCTTGCTTTTTCCTTCTTCGCAAGCTGTCTCTGTAGTAAGGCATCACATTGTCATTGAAATGATTAAGGCAACGGCCTACTACAGCTTTCTCTGGGTGAGTCTTTTCAACAATTGTTTGAATCTCTTCCCACATCTGACACACCTTCTTAATTACTGCAGAAGGGACATTCGCTACTGCCTCATCCTCCTCCACTGTAGAATCATCCGCTGCGTTGTCTTGCTGTTCCTGTTGAAGGGCTTGGAGTTCTTCGGTGGTCAGTTCTTCGTTGTGTTCTTCCACAAACTCCTCCACATCATCACCATCCAATTCCAAGCCCATTTGCTGGCCTAGAGTAACAATTTCCTCAACAATAGGAGCATCATTTACAGGCTCAAACCCCTCAAAGTCTAGTTGTCTCACACATTCAGGCCACAATTTTCTCCAGCCAGAGATCAGGGTTCTTTGAGTCACATCTTGCCAGGCTTTGTCAACGAGTTTTAAAGCACTACAAATGTTAAAATGGTGTTTCCAGAACTCTTTGAGGGTGAGGTTTGTGGCTTCAGTCACTTCAAAACATTTCCGAAAAAGTGCCCTTTCATAAAGTTTCTTAAAATTCGCTATGATTTTCTGGTTCATAGGCTGAATTAGAGGAGTGGTGTTAGGAGGAAGGAATTTAACTGTGAGGAATTTATTGTATCTGGGCAACAAATCATCTTCCAAGCCTGGAGCATGAGCAGGAGCATTGTCGAGGAGAAGCATGGCTTTGAGTGGCAAATGTTTCTCCTGCAGATATTTTTCTATGGCAGGGCACACCACTTCATTCACCCACTCCGAAAAAATAAGCCTAGTCACCCATGCTTTTTTATTAGCCTTCCACATCACACACAAATGGGTTTTCTGCACTTTATACTGTTTGAAAACCCTTGGATTTTCAGAATGATACACTAGCAAGGGTTTAATTTTCAAATCGCCACTCGCATTTGAACACAGCACAAGCGTAAACCTATCTTTCATAGGCTTGTGTCCGGGCAAGGATTTTTCCTCCTTGGTAATGTATGTCCTCTTAGGCATTCTTTTCCAAAACAGTCCTGTTTCGTCACAATTAAACACTTGTTGCGGTAGGTATCCCTCAGCCTTTGCAAACTCTTTAAATTCCTCAATAAATCGTCCAGCGGCTGGTTTGTCTGAGCTGGCTGCCTCCCCATGCCTTGTAACACTATGGATACCACTTCTTCTAAATTTTTCAAACCAGCCCCTGCTTGCCTTAAACTCTTTCGTATCTGCATCACTCGTTGCAGGGGTATTCTTTAGAAGGTCATCGTGCAATACCCTGGCTTTCTCACAAATAATGGCCTCCGAAACACTATCACCCCTTAATTCCTTGTCGTGTATCCAAATTAATAACAACTTTTCTACTTCTTCAAGTATTTGTGGTCTTTGTTTCGTTATTGTTCTTACTCCTTTTGCCACTTTAGCACCCATAATCTCATTTTTCTTCTTAAGTATAGTGCATATTGTTGATGTGGCTTTGTTGTACTGCCTACAAAGTTCAAAAACACTTGTACCGTTCTCATGCTTCCAAACGATTTCTTGTTTCTCCTCTATTGTCATCCTCACATGG